CCCCCCCCCCCCCCCCCTCCCCCCCCCGCGGGGTGTTTGGCTCTATGCACCCACCTTCCAGCCGCCCAGCTCACGGCGCTTGCGCTGCGTGTTCACCCTCCCCAGCGGGCTGGGCGAGGGAGGCTGCGGCCGCGCATTCGCCGCGCGCGGACACAAGGCAGCAGCTCCTGCTCCAGCTGGAGCCGGCGCGCGGGAGAGTCGGGAAGGGCCGTGGAGGCAGCTCGCGCTGGGACCCGCTTCTGCCGCCGAGATTCCAGGCTGCCGGGTTTCTGGCAATCCCGCACCGTGGAAACGTGCAAGAGCCCTTCCCGTGGATGAAGGGGACTAGAGGAGAGCACCTGTGTCCCGTGCACTATTGCACCAAGGCACCAGCTCAGCAATGAAACAGGCTGCATTAGAATCAGTAACGAACCTTGCCTGGAACAGCTCCTGGCTTGAGCACTTTGTTGTTGTTCCGGTAGCCTAAACAGCCACGGCAACCGTCTGTCTTGTATTTCATCACAGGGGAGGAGCACAGGCACTGGATCAGGCTAGCGACCTGACTCCTCTCATGCGCGCTCCAGTCCCCAAGGAGCCTTTGGAGCAGCTGCAGCATGTCTGCCTTCAGAGCAGGAGCTGTTGGATGACCCTCTGGAAGAGTAGCCCAGTGTAGAAACACAAGCCAAAAACGCAGAAATAACCCCAGTGCCTAGTATGTATTTTGGCTCTTTGTTTGTTGTTATTCATACACAAATGGGAGGGATACACGAGCCAACACAATTTTATTGTGAGCCACAGGGAGGAGTGTGTATCCACTAAAGGCAGAGTGCATGGCCCAGCATCTTGGCATCAGTCCCCTCCATTCACATGGCATGAAAATGGAGATGGAGAAGGGAAAACAACATTACATTTTTACTGCACACTTGTACATTCTAACAAACCTTATATTGCCCTTGACCTACCTGCTGGTTCTACAAAATGCTGGATGACGTATTTGAAAGGGACCTCACATCCACCCTGAACAACCTTGTGGATACTTCAGGGCGCCAGGGGTTATCACAGAATGGACCAAGACAGGACGAGCAAATCTTGGATGACGGTACCGAGGAAGGGGAATCCGAGCCAGAGGATGTCTCGACATTCAAGTTGGGGGCTATTTTCTACCCTGGAGGAAACTACCCAGTTGCAGCAGTCGGAGTTTGGGGAAGCAAAAGCTGCAGAGTGGCTTTGATTTGTGGAAGTGGGCTGAAATGAGTTATTGTGGGTAGGAGGGTTGGGTCTGTAGTACTGAGGGATTGTTAGATGTGGAACAGGGTGTTGATGGTTTCTCTCACTTCATGGTAATAGGCCTCATAAAAATCATCAAAAGTGTCATGCAGATGCTAGGCAATCTGCTTCCACAGGTTTGTTGGCAGAGCTGCTCTGTTCAATGTCTCGTTAAGGGTAAGATTCCCATGCCACTAATGCCATAAGAGGGGGAGAGGACCATTGCTACACACAGGCAAACTGCATAAGGGCCAGGACGGAAGCCGCAGTCTTGCGGAAGACCTTCCCCTGCTTCCCTTCTCATATATAGCAGCAAAATATCTTCCAAGATGAACTCAGCCTGTGGAAAATGTGTAGACCAGTGGTCCCCAACGTGGTGCCCGTGGGCACCATGGCGCCTGCTGGGCCATTTCTCTGCGCCTGCCAAGTGATTGGGGCTGGCCCCGCCCTCGGGTGCGTGGCATGTGAGCAGTGCCGGCCCCTGGGCATGCAGCGTATGGGCGTCCCTGCCCTGGGCACGCAGCACAGGAGCGGCGCCGGCCCCAGGCGCGTGGCGCATGGGCACTGCCGGCTCCTGGGCATGCAGAGCATGGGCTGTTCCAGCCCTGGGAGCATGACGTATGGGCAGCCCCACCCCTGAGCGAGGGGTACAGGAAGGGCACCGGCCCCGGGAGTGCGGTGCATGGGTGGTGCTGGCACTGGGCATGCAGCATATGGGTGGCCCCACCCCGGGCGTGTGCGTGGCCCTGCCCCCGGGTGCCCAGCATGTGAGTCGCCCCGCCCCCGGGTGCCCAGCAGCCCCAAAAGGTTGGGTACCACCGGTGTAGACATTACTGATTACAGTCCCTTCTCCCCCCCCCACCCCCGCAGTGTTGGCTCTCCCGAAGATACACATGTGCAGACTACAGTAAGGCCCTGCACCCATGAATTCCCCTGCCCTAGTGGTTAACTCAGCATTTGAGGAGAGGAGCTTGTGACTTATGGACCTTTGCCCTGGGACAGCCAGTCAGTGATAAGTATGTGAACAGCACTTGTGTTTTTACTGAGTCATGTCAGGGTGTGTCTAGACTACACCTCTCTGTCCACAGAGAGATGTAGATTAGGCACGTCGAAATTGCTAATGAACCAGGGATTGAAATATTCTGTGCCTCATTAGCATAAACATGGCTGCTGCTTTTTTTCAAACGCTTTTTTCAAAAAAAACGGCAGTCTAGACGTAGATCTGTCAAAAATAAAGCCTTTTTCGACAGATCCTGTAAACCTCATTTTTGGAGGAATACAAGATCTGTCGAAAAAGGATTTATTTTCGACAGATCCACGTCTAGACTGCTGCTTTTTTTCCGAAAAAACTCTGTTTTGAAAAAAAGCAGTGGCCATGTTTATGCTAATGAGGTGTGGGATATTTAAATCCCTGCTTCATTAGCAATTTCGATGTCCTTGATTTGCATCCCTCTCTCAACAGAGGGATGCAGTCTAGATGCAGCCTCAGTGCTGTCTAGTGTTGACAATGGTCCCTCTGTAAAATGTTCCATTTTGGCTTCATATATTTAACCTTGGGATCCCAGCCTACCTTGTTATCACTGGCTGAATGGCTGTGCAGGGCAAGGAAGCAGCCTCCAAAAAGTAAAGAGGACAAGATGCAAAATGTTGTGCTTCAGGCTGTTGCTGAAAAGAAAGAACTAAAGGAGAAACTAAATGAATTCTTTGCTTCAGTCTTCACAGCTGAGGATGTTAGGGAGATTCCCAAACCTGAGTTGTCCTTTGTAGATGACAAATCTGAGGACTTGTCACAGATTGAAGTGTCATTAGAGGAGGTTTTGGTATTAATTGATAAACTTAACAGTAACAAGTCACCGGGACCAGATGGCATTCAGCCAAGAGTTCTGAAAGAACTCAAATGGGAAATTGCGGAACTATTAACTATGGTTTGTAACCTATCCTTTAAATCAGCTTCTGTACCCAATGACTGGAAGATAGCTAACGTGACGCCAATATTTAAAAAGGGCTCTAGACGTAATCCTGGCAATTACAGACCGGTAAGTCTAACATCAGTACCGGGCAAATTAGTTGAAACTATAGTAAAGAATAAAATTGTCAGACACATAGAAGAACGGTGATAGAAATGTAGCCGTGTTAGTCTGGTGTAGCTGAAACAAAATACAGGACTATGTAGCACTTTAAAGACTAACAAGATGGTTTATTAGATGATGAGCTTTCGTGGGCCAGACCCACTTCCTCAGATCAAATATTTTTTAATTTTTTTTTTAAATTGTATCCTTTGGTATATATGGTTGTGACTTGTTGTAGGGATAACATATTAATGTATTGAAAATGATTCCTCCAAATGGAAGTGACTCCCCATAATTTGTTCCCCACAACTTAGTGTTTAGATTTATTATTAATTCTTCTTCTTCTTATTATTATTATTTGTTAAGATTGTTAAATGTTTAGATTTATTATTATTATTGTCCCTTTAGAATATAATGTATTAGGTCATGTAACTTAGAACTGTTAAAAATATAATCCTAACTGTTAAGAATATAATCCTATGTAGCCAGAAACAGCCCCCTCCCCCCCTCTGTGCTCCAGGGCATGCTCAAGCTTGTGCAAGGGGCTGCTTGAAATTGACATTGCAGAGATACATTGTAACAATGCATTGTCAAGCCACTAACTCTGCTATGGGAGCCAAGCCCTGTAATTGACTTAAGGGCATTGTTACTTAATTGAGGCCTGTTCTCTTTAAAACATTGTAACTTTATTCAGCACTCAGAGAATGTTTTAAGCAATACCACCCAGAAACTTTCTGTAACTACAACTTTTATTATTATACAAAATACTGTATGAATGTATGAGAGAGTGCTTGGATGATGAGTGAATGGTTCTGAGAGGTGCCAGCCTGAGAATACAGCAACAAAGGGCTGAAGAAGGCGTCAGGTGCCAGTGCAACCAAAAGGTGTCAAGTGGAGAAACTGGAGGTCCACCCGATGAGATCACTGATGAGCACCTGGCAGCCACCCTGGAGACATCAGCATGATGCAGCAATTTCCATAGACTGGCATAGGAAGAAATTCCTATAAGAACTGGACTAAAAAACTATGGAATCAGAGTCCAAGGTTCTGCTGCCAGCCTACCAGGAGCTTCAGATGCGCATCTGATCAGGACTTCGCTCCCCACTACCATCACTTGTGTACAGAGTACCTGGCCAGTATCCTGTCACAAGCAACTTCCAGGCTGGTAACTATACACAGAACTTGAATGAATGGATGTATGAATGAATGGTTTATATATATATATAAGTGTATAAGGGTTAAGTAGTGTTAGGAATAAGTAGTTAAACAACGTTGTTTGCTTCTATCTTTTCTTTATTTTTTTATTATCTTTACAATAAATGTGGCTTTTTGCCTTATCCCCCTCATAAGATCCTGCTTGCTTTTATTTGGTACAACACATGGACATCTTCATCTTCCTACTATCTCTTGCCCCATAGCACTGGATGGGCCAGCCCCAGCCACCATAGCCACAGAATGCCAGGAAGGTGGTCAGAACAGTGCCACGCTAGCTGGCGCCATGATAGTATGAAGAGCCAAGTGAGAACAGGAAGCAGGAGGGAGACTGGGGACAGAGTGCAGTGAGGCCACACCTGGCTGTGGAGGCTCAACCTCTC